CATGTTGACCAGGATGGTCTCGATCTCTTGACCTCGTGATCCACCCGCCTCGGCCTCCCAAAGTGCTGGGATTACAGGCTTGAGCCACCGCGCCCGGCCTTAAAAGTTGTTTTTTTAAATAGAGACAAGCTCTCACTACATTGCCCAGGCTGGTCTTGAACTCGAGCTGAAGTGATTCTCCCACCTTGGCCTCCCAAAGTGTTAGGATTACAGGTGTGACCCACTGCTCCTGGCCTTGGGCTCTAACATTAGAAACAAGGCTTGCCCTATTTCTTATCAGCTCAATGCTTACCAAACCCTGTTCTCACACAGCCTTTACACGGGCAGGGTCTTATTCCCATCACTGCTCAGAGGTTTACTCCGCTGTCCACAATCCATTATCCAAAATTCTGGAGAACAAAAAGCTCTGTAAACTGGTGGTTTTCTGACAAGTTAGGCACTATTTGGTTACAAAACTTGACCTGATCTAATGAGGAACACTTTTCTTTCTTTTTTTCCCTTTTTTGGAGACAGGATCTTGCTCTGTTGCCCAGGTAGCAGTGCAGTGGTGTGATCATGGTTCACTGCAGCCTCGAACTCCCGGGCTCAAGCAATCCTGCCACCTCAGCCTCCCGAGTAGTTGGGATTACAGGCACGTGCCTAGACTAATTTTTAAAATTATTTGTAGAGACGATTATGTTCCCAAGATTAATCTCAAACTCCTGGGCTCAAGCAATCCTTCCACCTGAGCCTCTCAGAGTGCTGGGATTACTGGCATGAGCCACCGCCCCCGGCCGAGGTACACTCTTCAATCCTTACTTAACCAGTTATTGTGAACTTTCATGCTTTTTCTTTAATAAATACTGTTTTTATTTTTTTAACGCGTCAGCTCCAAACCCCATATATTCACGGGAAGACTCCGAAATCAAAAATGTTCTGAATTCTGGAAACGTACTGGGCCCCAAGTCTTTCGGATTTAACTCTGCCTCGGCTGTTTTATTCAGTTAAGGAAACTGAGTCACTCCCTCCCAAAGCCAGATTCCCTTGGTTCTAAGTTGAAGCTGTCTCGGGTGCATTTGCATTCCAAAAAGGCGAAGGTTCCCGCTATTACTGCTCCTGGTACCTGGAGCGCCATGCATCCCGCCAATGGGGCGCCCTGGGGGCTGTGCGTCAGGCTGGGAGTATCCTTGGCGGGCGGGGCGAGGGGGCTTCCGGGGCGGCAGCCACCTGGCCCGGCCCCCTCCGGCCCCGCCCGCGTCAGCTCTGCGCGGTGATTCACTCCCTCCTTCGCCCCGGGGCCCCCTTCCCGGCCAGACAGCGGGCAAGACGGCTGGGTGTGCAGCGTCCTCGAACCCACGAGCAAGCGAGCAAATCCTCCGAGGCCCCAGGGACTCTAGCCCATGCCATGGCGGATTCTGAGCGCCTCTCGGCCCCCGGCTGCTGGGCCGCCTGCACCAACTTCTCGCGCACCCGAAAGGGAATCCTCCTGTTTGCTGAGATTGTGAGCGTCCTGGGGCAGGCGCGTGGGCAAAAGTGGGATGGGGTGGCTGGACCACGCAGAACCAGATGGTCCGGGTGAGGCGGGCACATGGCCGGGGCGCTTGGCAGTGGGGTGCAGGTGGGTGGGTTCACGGTGGAGGCCCGAAACCCGGGGCGCACGGCGAGTCGGTGGGGTTTGGAAAAGAAGGTGGTTGAGATCTAGTGGCCCCGGGGTGAGGCAAGGAGCCTATAACGCAAACGGAGGGCTGCGTAGGGGGAGCCTGTGTGGACCCATCAGTGGACGCATCGAAGGGGTCCTGGGGTGCTGGGAAGTGGAGGCCTCCTGCGGCAGGGCGTGGCGCGGCCTGGGCACCGGAGGGCGGGCTGGCAGCGCGCCTAGGGGCAGGGCCTGTTGGGGTGGGCGCCCCCGCGCTAGTCCCGCGGTGTAGAGCGCCCCACCCTTTGCCAGTTCTTCCTCGCCCTTCTGAGGCCGGGCGGGATATCCTTAACATTTCGGGGTTTCCACCCTCCTCAAAGTGGGCGCTGCCTTCGAGTCACTTGTAAAAGGGGTGCGGTGCCTTTAACGGAGTCCCGCCTCTCTGGTGTCACTCTCACCACTTCCCAAAGGGGTTGCTGGGGGAACCGCGTGTCCCGCCTAGGTCAAAGCCACAAACCCGGCGTCACCGGGGCTGGCAAAACACCTGGCAGCACCACTTCCCTCAGGCTGCCCATATCCTAGAAGGGAAACGGGGATGAAACTGAGGCACCCAAGTCTACTCCTTACTTGCTGGGTGACCCCGGGCAAGCCATTAAACCTCTCTGTGCCTCAGTTTTCTCATCTATCAATTAGAGTAATAATAGTACCCAGCATGGGATTGTGGTGATGATTAAGTGAATTTGGAACACAATGAGCACACAAAAAGTGTTTAGCTATTATTATGTGTCATTTCCCCAACCCTGGTAGGCATCCGAATATGGGACCCTCAATTTAAACCAATCGCCTAAGCCCTTAGGTCTCCTTTCCCATGTTCCCTTTTCCAGATATTATGCCTTGTGATCCTGATCTGCTTCAGTGCCTCCACACCAGGCTACTCCTCCCTGTCGGTAGTTGAGATGATCCTTGCTGCTATTTTCTTTGTTGTCTACATGTGTGACCTGCACAGCAAGATACCATTCATCAACTGGCCCTGGAGTGTGAGAAGCGGTCAACAATGGCAAGGCCAGGGAGGGGTCTGGGCAATTAGGATTGTCTGGGGAACTCTGGATGCTGACTTCCCTCTTCTCCTCCCTACACTTCACAGGATTTCTTCCGAACCCTCATAGCTGCGATCCTCTACCTGATCACCTCCATTGTTGTCCTCGTTGAGAGAGGAAACCACTCCAAAATCGTCGCAGGGGTAAAGGTCATGGGAGCAGCTCTGAAGCACAGAGGGAAGGGTTTGAGGAACCAGCCAGGAGCCATTTCTGCCAGTGCTTCTAGCAGAAAGCCTGTGATCCATAGCATGTCACACTTGTCCTCAGGGCATGCATGTCCCAGGCCTTGGTTTTACCTCCCAAGGTCTTCATTTGCTGTGAAGGGCGGTCCCTTGTCAGACACAAGGACCTTGGTGGAAAGTACAAACAGGTGGCCCCTTTGTCAATGCACTAGACTACCATCTGCAAGAACTTTGTCCCAAATGTAGTAGGAATTGGGGCCGGGCAGGGTGGCTTATGCCTGTATTCCCAGCACTTTGGGAGGCTGAGGCCGAGGCAGGTGGATCACTTGAGGTCAGGAGTTTGAGACCAGCCCGGCCAACATGGTGAAACCCAGTCTCTTCTAAAAACGCAAAAATTAGCCGGGCATGGTGGTGGGTGCCTGTAGTCCCAACTACTAAGGAGGCTGAGGCAGGAGAATCACTTGAACCCAGGAGACAAAGGTTGCAGTGAGCTGAGATCATGCCACTGTATTCCAGCCTGGGCGACAGTGAGACTGTGTGTCCAAAAAAAAAAAAAAAGTAGTATGAATTGTGCATGCTACGTGTAGGACCACAGTGTGACCTCCCTGTGTTGAAGCATAGGAGGAGGGAGGGTGGGTAGGATGCATTCTCTTGGCCTTCCTCTGGGGTTCTTTGGCTTCCCAACCTCGGGCTTCAGTCCCATCCTGCATGGGGCAGGTGCTGGAGGTGGTGAATACAAGAAGGTAAGAGACTGAGTAACCTGACTACCTAATCTAACCCCCCGACTCCTATCCTGTCCCCCAGGTACTGGGCCTAATCGCTACATGCCTCTTTGGCTATGATGCCTATGTCACCTTCCCCTTTCGGCAGCCAAGACATACAGCAGCCCCCACTGGTAAGTGTGTGTGTGTGTTGGTGGGAGGCAAGGGGGTTGCCGAGAGGGCAGAGGAGAGAAGGAAAGCAATCCCTTAAAGACATGAATGCCAACTCTGTCCAGTATTGGTACTTATGGGCTTTTGTACCAATAGGTATCATAAGCTTCAGTATTCTTGTGCATAAAATGTTCATGGACTTTGGATCTTGTTTTTAAAAATGGGTATATAGATTCAGCCAATGCTTTCTCTCTTTTCCTCACCTGCAGACCCCGCAGATGGCCCGGTGTAGGCGAACTCCCCTCATTTCTCTCTTCAGTCTGCAAATAACTCCTCCATTGAAATACACCTTTCCATCCCCACAACATTCCCAGCCAATGAATTCCCACCCCCTCATTGAGGTAAAAGTGCCTATATTGGGAGGCTTTTGTCTTCTAGCCTGCCAATCAACCCTCCTGGGTGTGGCCACCATTATGCTTGTGCCTAGGTCCTCCTTCGGCAGGATCCAATAGGAGATACCAGTTCTGCCTGAACCATGCCCCCACCTAAGTCGTAAAATGAGGGAAGAGGGAGACTTAGATTTCAGAGTCCAGGCCCCAGGTTGTGACCCACTCCAAATAATCTCCTCCGTGTGGGTGGTGGTTCTGTAGAGGGATAAATAATAAACATATTGTTAAAATATATGATAATGAATAAAGTAATCCTTTCATCAAATGTGGGTAAATTTCAAGCATCAGGAGGGAGAAATGGAGCAGAGACAGCTGGGGTAAGGAGGCAAAGAAGCCAGGCCTGTTTTACAACAAATATTAAATTACTTCAATAATACAAACGAAAAACCCGGTGAGGTGGCTAATGCCTGTAATCCCAGTCCTATGGGGGGGCTGCAGCAGGAGGATTGCTTGAGCCCAGGAGCTCTAGACCAGCCTGGGAAACATGGCGAAACCCCATCTCTACCAAATTAAAAAATTATCTGGGCACGCTGACTCAAGCCTGGAGTCCCAGCTACTTGGGAGGCTGAAGTGGGAGGATCGCTTGAGTCCAAAACTTTGAGGCTGCAGTGAGCCTTGATCACACACTGCACTGCAGCCTGGACAGTAGAGCAGACCATGTCTCTAAAACGGAAGCAAAAATAGAAACAGACAAAGGAGGGAGGAAGAGGATTTATGACTTAGGTCGTGAGGGTGTGGTGTGAGGGTGGGGCTATGGGCCTCATGGTCTACTCTGACTGGAGAATGGAGCCCCCTGCTGGACGTCCTGCCTTCAAGCCAAGATACAGTTCTTGTCTCGGGCCTGTCTCGGGCGAGAGTCCCTGCGGAGCAATGAAGATGGGGAGGTGAAGGTCTCCGTTGCAGTGTCCTGAGCAGGAGTGGGCCTGCACAAATGGGGGGGCAGAGGAATGCGCTCGCCTAGGAAGAAGCCATCATCCTCTGAGGATTCGGAACTGGAACTGGAGGGCGAGCTGGAGCAAGATCCCGAGTCTGACCCTGATCCCGCGTCACACTGATAGTGGCGACGTCTGCTTGGGTTTCCGTGGTGATGGTGATGGTGGTGGTGACGGTGACGGTGATTGTGACGGTGGCGGCGACGGCTGGGGGCCCTGGGTGGGGGACTGCGTGGCCTGCGGCGCTGGGCCGGGGGTGCACTCAGGGTCCGGCGTGGACCTCCTTCAGACACCAGAGGGTCGCGGAAGCTGACACGTGGGGTGCTCTGGCGACCGAAGACACTATCATCCGGACGCGGGTTAGGCTGGCTGGGGGACTCTGGGGGAAGCTCGGGGGCGCTGCGGAGCCCCAGCTCCGGCATGGAGTGGCGGTGGGGGGCCCCTCTCAGAAAGTGGGAGGGCTCCTCGGGGCCTGCAGCTGTTAAGGGGGAGACAGAGCAACTTCTTGTATCTGCCCTCCCACTGGCCCGCTCCTATGGGGAGGCCTGCGGAAGAGCCTTCTTTCCTCCACTAAGACTGAGAAAGTGGGGGCAGGGGTCGGAGAAGGGCAGGGAGGTGGGGAGCCTAGGAAGTGTGAGGCCTGGAGCAGGCTCTGGGTGGAGAGAGGGTTGGAAGGAAGAACAGGGAGAAAGACGGGACTGGTTGGGGGGCGTGGCCAGGGTACTGGGAGTGGCTTCGGATGGAAGGGGTGTGGCATAGGCTGGAGTAGATTTGGTTTGGGATAAATGGGGTGGGGCCTGGGTGCAGAAGATGAAGTGCGACCAGCTGGAGAAGAGGAAGAGGAACTTGTGCTCAAGCAGAGACAAGTTGAGGTAGGGGACCGGTCCTGTATTGTCAAGGTGGAACCAGGGTTCTCAAGGCGGCTGCAGTTTGGGGATGGAGACCAGGTCTGGACTGGTGTGGGGACGGAGGATGGACAGAGATGCGGGCGGGGCCCTGGGATGCAGCAGGTGAAGGGCCTTGGCGAGTCAAGGGGGAAGGGCCAGGGTTGAGGGAAGGGTAAGGACGTGGAGGTGACTGGGCTGTGGCTGGAGAGTTAGCTCACCTGGCTCTGACTCCGTGCAGGTGCCTTTGGTGGTGGTCTCCAACACCCCCTCCGCAGCAGAGAAAGAGGCTGTGGAGGCTGCAAGTGGGGCTGTGACAGTGCCGGCACTCCAGCTGCGGCGGCCTGGCCCTGGAGCGGTGGGCTCAGACCCAAGGCTGCAGGCTCGAGAGCAGAAGATTAGGCCTCGGCGTGGCAGGAATGGACGGCCCAGTAGGGCCCGCCCGCAGCGACTACAGCAGAAGCAGCGCTCTGAGGCATGCCAGTGCTGGCCCTCGTAAGCCATCTGGCCTTGGTCCAGGCCTGTGGGGACCAAAAGGGGGAAAAACTGAAGCAGAATCCCCAGGCATACCCCTACCCCTTGTGAATGGGTCCCTTCTCAGGAAGAGGTGGGGAATCTGAGGCAAGGCACTCCTGGGCGCCTTCCTCCTCCAGAATGTGGCCCTTCTGGAAAAAGCAGGAAACGGGTTTTGGTTCTCTCCTGGAGACTGGCTGGTGAACCTCTCTCTCACTCCTTCCTTTCTTTCACAGGGTGCTCTCTTCCAGAGCCGTGTGGGCATTGGATTCTAAGATCCATGCCAGGCTTAGACATTAAGGAGAGTGGAAGGCTGGGCCTGAAGAGGAGGCCTGGCTGGTGGGGGCAGGGCTTGGAAGGTGGGGTGTAGCCCTCATGAAAAAGGAGTCAGTCTCACAGGGTAGGGTGTAGCTAGAAGCTAGGCCTGACCTAGGCTGATGCAGGAGAGTGGACGAGAACAGAGCATAGCTTGGGGTGGTGGAGGCTAGGCTTAGGAGGAGCCCTGGGGCAGGAATTAGAGCGCCCTCTGGAGGTGGGTCTAGAGGTGTGGTGGTGGCCTAGCATTGTGTAGGTGCGATTTAGAAAGCATAGCATAGTGGGGACATTGGGAGTGGGACTTGCAATCAAGCAGGCAGGCCTACAGTGTTGGGGCTGGACAAAGTGCAGGGCACAGTGCAGGGTGGGACCTGGTGCATGATCCAGCCCCACAGGGTCTAGTGGGTGTTCTTTTGTGTGCGGAGACGATAGATGGTAGAAAAGAAAGACACAAGACACAGAGATAAGAGAAGAGTTCAGCTGGGCCGGGGGGACCACCACTATCAAGGGACAGAGTCCAGCAGTGGCCCCCCCACCCCCCAGGCCCAACTGAACTCTTCTCTTATCTCTGTGTCTTATGTCTTTTTTTTCTATCATCTATCGTCTCCGCACATAAAAGAACACCCACTAGACCCTGTGGGGCTGGACCCTGCAGCCTGGACAGGAGGTGTCCTGGTGGGGTGGGGCTGTGGCCCAGTTTGTCCATCCATCCCTCTGTCCATTCCCACCGCATTCACCCACCGATGTGCTCCCCACAGCCATCACAGTACTCCGCATGGCGGGCCTCGTAGCAGGTGCAACAGTGGGGGCGGCTCTGACGCATCACATAGCGCTGCCCTCCTAGCGAAGCTTCACACTCGAAGCAGCAGAAGTGATCCATATGCCAGTGGCGGCCCTCCGCTTCCGTGCACTCAGGGGAGAAGATGATCTGGAGGGCACAGGTCATCTGTAGCGGTCAGATGAGCCTACCCCTGGCCCTGCCTGCCCTCCACTCCCACCCCTGGGCAGGGAGGCCCAAACCTCATCACAGGCTTGGCAGCGTGGACGCAGGCATTCGGCATGGTGACGCCCGCAATAGACCTTTCCAGCATGGTAGAAGTAGATGAGGTCAACCAGAAGTTCCCGGCACGTGGTGCACACAAAACACTGTGGGTGCCAGCAGGCACCCAGGCCTGCACGGCTGGCAAACACTGCGATGTCCCCACCTCCAATCTGCTTCCCGCACTGCCAGGAGACAAGCACCAAGATGGTTACCATCACTGTCACCAAGATGGTCAGATGGATGGGGTCAGCCAAAGTGTGTTACACTTGGGCCTTTCCCATGGCAAACCTTTGTGACTGGTCCCACCCATGGGGTAACTTTGAGACAGGCCCTGCCTACACCAGGGATGGGGTTGGGAGGTACCTTAGAGACTGAGCCTGCTCATGGCGGAAGCCACAGAGACAGGCCCTACCCATGGTGGGTGGCCTTACAGGCAAGCCTCACTCCTCAGGAGTGGGGAAGACAGCCAGGCAAGGCCTAGTGGGGGAAACCACAGATAGTCTCCACCCACTGGGACCTTAGCAATAGATGTCACCTAACAGTAGGATCTAAGGGCAGACCTTAGGGCCCTGCAGACAGGCCCTGCCACTGTGGGTCAGCTCTTGAGGACAAGTTCTGACCACAGGAGGACCAAAGAGACAGTCCATGCCTCATGTTCACTGCACAGAAGGGGAGAAAACCACACACGACAGTGGGATCGATGGGACAGGTCCCTGTCCACTAGGGGTTGCCTTAGAGACAGTCCCCGCCCAGCAGAAGGGACCCCGCCCAGCAGAAGGGACCACGCCCAGCAGAAGGGACCCTAGAGACAGCCCACTGGGGCTTCAGTGGCAGGCCTCATCTTCCTACTGCCTGGAAGATGTGCCCTGCTCCTCAGGGCTTGGAGCAGAGGCACTGCTCACTCGCTGAGGCCCTCCATGGCTCACCTCCTCACAGATGGCCCCAGTGATAGTCACCGGGAAGATGCGCACAACGCCACGCCCCAGATTCTCCCGCTTCCGCTGCTGGCTGAAGGCTCTGAGCTCTTTCTTCTCCTCCTCTTCCAGTGCGGTACAGTACTGTGCCTGGGAAGAGAAGGCATCTCCCAGGCTCCTCCCTTGATATCTGTCCCCACCCCTTTCAAGACTTCATCCATGCCCCGAAAGTTTACTTCTAGGTCTTTTTATAGATGGTGCCTCCTGCCTGAAGTACCCACCTCTTCCTCCAAGCCCCAGCTGTGGTTTTGCCAAGGAATGTCCTCTGATGGTCCCTGCCTGTCTGGACCACTCACCTCCGATCAGCTCACCTTTCCTCTTCTGACCCTGCCCAGCACTGGCCCAGGCTGTGCCCCATGCCTGGCATGCCCTTCCTGTCTTCTCTCTCCTCACCTCACTGTCGTGTGGGGGCAGCTGGTGCAGCAGCTGCTTGATCCTGTATTTCTCCCCAGGACTGTTGACGTAGGGGACCTTGTCCTCTGGGAGGCAGCTGAAAAACTGATACACCTGGGAGGACATAGGAGTGGGAGAAAACAGCTGAAATGAGAGGTGAGTTGGGATGCAGTGAGATGTCAGGTCCCCACTTCTCTGAGAAAATGAAAGGCATCTGGAGGGACCTTCTCTGGACTCCATCTGCCTTCCTAAAGGCAGATAATTTCCCTCAGCTCCCAAACATGCTGAGAGTTCCTGCATGCCTTGACCTCACTTCCTCCTCCAGCTGCTGATCCACTTTTTTTTTTAGACGGAGTCTTGCTTTGTTGCCCAAGCTGGAGGGCAATGGCACAATCTCGGTTCACTGCAACCTCCGCCTCCCGGGTTCAAGTGATTCTCCTGCCTCAGCCTCCAGAGTAGCTGGGACTACAGGCATGCCACCATGCCCAGCTAATTTTTGTATTTTTAGTAGAGACAGAGTTTTACCATGTTGGCCAGGCTGGTCTTCAACTCCTGACCTCAAGTGATCCATCCACCTTGGCCTCCCAAAGTGTTGGGGTTACAGGCATGAACCACTGCACCCGGCCTGCTGATCCACTTTTCTTTTTTCCTTTGTGGGAAAATTCCTCAAAAAGTTATGAGCACTTGTGTTCACTCCACTTCCTCTCCTTCCAATCTCCCTTAAGCCTATTCAAGGCAGGCTTCCGCTCCCATCCCTCTTCCAAAGCTGTCAAGGTCATCAACGACATCCGCATTGTTAAAATCATTGTTCAGTTCTCAGCTTCATCAGACTTAATGACTCTAGCAATGCACCAAGCTGACCACTCCTTCTTCCCGGAAACACTTTCTTCCCTTGGCTTCCAGGACAACACACAGTCCAGGTTTTCCTTATCCCTCATTGGCTGCTCCTTCTCTGTCCCTGTTTTGGCTCCTCTTCAACTAGCTGACCCCTAAATGTGGGAGGATCCTAGGACTCACCTCTGGGTCCTCTTGCCTCTGTCTACATTCAATCTCTTGGGAATTACATTCAACCTCATGGATATAAATATCATCTACTTAGCTAATGTGTCACCTCCAGCCTGTGACACATTATGGCAAACACATACTTCCAGCCCTGTGGCTTCTTTCTCGAGTTCTAGGTAATGTGGCTATTTAGTTGTCTAACAGGCATCTCAAACTCCAAATGGCCAGAACCAATCTCATGCTCTTTTTTCTTTTTTTCTTTTTTTTTTTTGAGACAGAGTTTCACTCTTGTTACCCAGGCTGGAGTGCAATGGCGCGATCTCGGCTCACCGCAACCTCCACCTCCTGGGTTCAGGCAATTCTCCTGCCTCAACCTCCTGAGTAGCTGGGATTACAGGCATGCGCCACCATGCCCAGCTAATGTTTTGTATTTTTAGTAGAGATGGGGTTTCTCCATGTTGGTCAGGCTGGTCTGGAACTCCTGACCTCAGGTGATCTGCCCACCTTGGCCTCCCAAAGTGGTGGAATTACAGGCATGAGCCATTGTGTCTGGCCTTCTTTTTTTTCTTTTTTGAGACAGGTTCTCAGTCTGTCACCCAGGCTGGAAGGCAGTGGCAGGATCTCAGCTCACCACAACCTCCACTTCCTGAGTTCAAGCAATTCTCCTGCCTCAGCCTCCTGAGTAGCTAGGATTACAGGCACACACTACCACGCCTGGCTAATGTTTTGTATTTTTAGTAGAGACGAGGTTTCACCATGTTGACCAGGATGGTCTCAATCTCTTGACCTCGTGATCCACTCGCCTCGGCCTCCCGAAGTGCTGGGATAAACTCGCTCCTGTCTTGGCCTCTCCCACACCAGTTAATCTACTCATCCTCGGGGGGCATCTTTCAATTCTCTCTCTCCTACTCCCACAACCAAATCCTTTCAGCTCTACTTCCAAAATATAGGCTGGGTGTAATCCCAGCACTTTAGGAGTCCTAGAGAGGAGGATCACTTGAGCTCCGGAGTCCAAGACCAGCCTGGGCAACATGGCAAAACTCCATCTCTACAAAAAATACAAAAATTAGCTGGGTGTGGTGGTGCATACCTGTAGTCCTAGCTACTCAGGAGGTTGAGGTGGGAGGATCACTTGAGCCCAGGAAGTTGAGGCTATAGTGAGCTGTGATCATGCCACTGCACTCCAGCCTGGGAGAGTGCGACCCTGTCTCTCCTCTCTCCCTCTCCCTCTCTCTCTCTAAATATATTATATATGTATGTATATTTATTATTATTATTATTATTATTATTTGAGACAGAGTTTCGCTCTTGTTGCCCAGGCTGGAGTCCAATGCCACGATCTCAGCTCACTGCAACCTCCACCTCCCAGGTTCAAGCACTTCTCCTGCTTCAGCCTCCCAAGTAGCTGGGATTACAGGCATGCACCACCATGCCCAGGTAATTGTTTTGTATTTTTAGTAGAGATGGGGTTTCTCCATGTTGGTCAGGCTGGTCTGGAACTCCTGACCTCAGGTGATCTGCCCACCTTGGCCTCCCAAAGTGGTGGAATTACAGGCATGAGCCATTGTGTCTGGCCTTCTTTTTTTTCTTTTTTGAGACAGGTTCTCAGTCTGTCACCCAGGCTGGAAGGCAGTGGCAGGATCTCAGCTCACCACAACCTCCACTTCCTGAGTTCAAGCAATTCTCCTGCCTCAGCCTCCTGAGTAGCTAGGATTACAGGCACACACTGCCACACCTGGCTAATTTTTGTACTTTTAGTAGGGACAGGGTTTTGCCATGCCTTAAGTAATCTGCCCACCTCAGTTTCCCAAAGTGCTGGGATTACAGGTGTGAGCCACCATGCCCCTGGGCAGATATGTTATTTTGTGTTCTTTTCCCAAAAAGTGTTTTGCTCACTGCTGTGTCCTCATGGCCTAGAACAGTGTCTCACATGCAGTAGGTGTCCCATAACTATGTGTTGAATGACTCAATCAATGAAGTCATGTGGCAAATGAAGTGCTGGAAGGGTAGGATAGGGAGTGGGGCCAGGCACGGTATCTTGCTCCTGTAATCCCAACACTTTGGGAGGCTGAGGCAAGAGGATCACTTGAGCCCAGGAGTTCCAGAGCAGCCTGGACAACATAGGGAGACCCTGTCTCTACAAAAACTTTAAAAAGTTAGCCAGGCATGTTGGCATGTGCCTGCAGTCTCAGCTACGCGGGAGGCTGTGGTGGGCAACAGAGTGAGACTCTGTCTCAAAAACAAACAAAAAGAATAGGATTGGGGTGAACAGGCCCTGAGGAACCGGTCCCTCAATCACCCAAGGTGTGGGGGGGCTGACCGGTCCTCCATCACAAAACAGCCACAAGGATTCTCGTCTGAATGCACACTGTAGCATAGCTCCAGAAATAGGTTCCCACATGAGTGTGTGTGTGTGTGTATGTGTGTGTGTGTGTGTGTGCATGAGTGTGCACCCACTGGACAGCAAGAGTGGAGGGCTGGCCTCTGGTCACCTGCTCCGGTTTAAGGCCTGGGGGCACCCAGGCATACTCCTCCGATGCACAGCCCGAGTCATCGTCGGAGATGGAATGGCGCTGGAAGTCCGAGATTAGCCGACACATGATGCGTTCCAGGTCCACAGGCACTGCGTGCACTGCGTGCTCCTCCCGTGGGCATTTGCAATGCTGGCAGATCTTTCTGAGGGACCGAGGATGGAGGTCAATTACTAAGGGGTTGCCCACCGGAACCCCTCGGCAGCCCAGGTCGGGACATGCGGATTATCACCTGGGGGCGGGGCTGCAGGAGGTGGGCCTATGAGCCAGGGTGTGGCTGGGCTGTGAGCCAGAGGACAGGCCGCGGGGGAGTGGGACGCTTTGTGGGGGAACTTTCACTAGACACAGGCATCTAACCTGTGATGAGGCTCTGAACTTGTGGGCTCTGAGCCTGTGTGGGTAGGGTCTGAGTCTGGGGACTGTAGGCTCTGTCTGTTGGGTGCAGGGGTCCAGTAGGAGGATAGGACGCTGGGCCTGGGAGGTCTGAGTCTAAGAGGGGTGCTGGAGGCCAATGGGCGGTGCCCAGAGCTAGGGACGAAGAATCTCCCTAGGGATGTGACTCAGGGGCTAAGAGAGAGCTCTTCTGGGGGCGGGGCTGCGTGGTGGGTGGAGCTCTCCTGGGAACACTACTTTTGGGAATGAGTCAGGGGCGGGGCTCTGAATCTGAGCCTGAGGCTCTTTTCCCAACTGAGGTCCCTCTGTGGGCGGAGCTCAAGCTTAGGGGCGTGGGATAAGCCTCCCGGATTCCCCCCCGCGAAGGCGGAGCTCTGACAAAGGCGAGGCCCTTTGGGGGCATCACTTACCTCCAGCCGTGCAGCAGGAAGCCGGGGCACTGCTCCCTGCAGGAGTTGCAGGGCTGGCCCCGGTCTGGGTCCTCTGCCTCTGGAGGCTGCAGTGAGCAGGGGTGGACGCAGTGCCCGGTGAGGCGCGGGAGCAGGGAAGAAGTCAACGGCCGCCCCTCCACTTCATTGCCCACGACCGCACGCTGGGGCCTGTCTCACCTGGGCAGCGCTGGGCAGGCTGAGACAGCGCCCGGAGTGCGGCGGAGCGGGACACAACCGAGGCAGAGGCGGGGCAGTTGAAGCTACCTCTTTATATGTCCCCTTTTCGGGGAATTCCCCTGCCTAGACTGGCCTCGGACCCCACCCCCTCTTCGCCCCTAGCCTCAGACACCTCCCACCAGCCTTAGATCCTTCCAGGGCTCAAGCACCTCCCCTAGAATTCAGAGTACTCTTCCCACCAGAGCACAGAGCCCCTATTCTGGGCATCCTCTCCCAAGCCTCATCCCGGTTCCCTCTTCACCTACGCTGCCAGCAGCACTCCAGTTCCACAGGGTAGGGGATGAGACCCCATCCTTCTTCGAGATCCCCACATGAACGCTGCCCTTCTCTTCAGAAGCTCAGGAGCTCCTCCCCCAAACCCTGGCCTCAAGCCCTGATATCTAAGGAACTGGGGACCCTCCCCCAGGATCTCAGGATGCCCCTGCTTCATTAAGAAACCCCCACCCCAAGAAATTTTGGCCTTTACCCCACTTATCCTAGGGCTATTTAGTCCTTCTCGGGACCACCAAACCCAGACCCCACATTCCCAGGTCGGGGACCCACTCCAAAGAAAGTGAAAGACCCTCCTATCTAAAAAGTCAAAAACTCCCTTCCTCAGGCAGAAGCCTGGAAGCCTTGTTCCCCCAAATCCCGGTCTCTTGGCCCTCAGCATTCTGGCATCCCAGGAGTGTAGGACTCTATCCCTCCATTCACATTCCTCCAAGGTATTGTGTCCTTTTCTTTAGAAGCCCAGGAGGCCCGCCAGGCACGGCGGCTCACACCTATAATCCCAGCACTTTGGGAGGCCGAGGCAGGCGGATCACCTTACATCAGGAGTTCCAGACCAGCCTGGTCAACATGGTGAAATCCTGTCTCTACTAAAAATACAAAAATTAGCTGGGTGTGGTGGTGGGCGCCTATAATCCCAGCTACATGGGAGGCTGAGGCAGAAGAATCGGTTGAACCCAGGAGGCGGAGGTTGCAGTGAGTGGAGATCACACCACTGCACTCCGGCCTGGGTGACAGAGCAAGTCTCCATCAAAAAACAAAAAAAAGAAAAAAAAAAAGAAAAAGAGAAAGAGAAAAGCTCAGGAGGTTCCTGCTCAACCTAAGGCCCCATGTGGCCCTCAGAAGTCCCTCCACAATTCACAAGAAAGGGGTCCCCACCAGGTCCCAGGAGTGCTGATGAAGGTGTGCGTAAAGGTGATTAGGGGGCTTGGGCCACCAGATCTAAGTCCTTCCTTCATCCATTCGCCTCCAGCAGCCCCAGCCCCAGGTCTGGGAATGTTGAGGATGGGATTCCCGGACCCTCTGTGGGGCGCCTGTTCGCTATGCCTATCCCTTCCCCCCTCGCCCGGGCCTCAGTTTACCCCCGCCCCCCACCGCTGCCCTGATTCACGCTCACCGCACGTCCCGAGCGGCGCCTCCGGGACCCACGAGCGAACATGGCGCGCCCGGGCAGGGTCAAGCCAGGCCGGGTCAGGCGAATGTAATCCTCGAGACCATCAGGCCACCGCGCGTCCGGCCTGGGAGCTCGGTTCCGTAAACCTGACACCCGCGTGGGAGGAGCGCGCCCCACAGGGCCCACCCCCGGCTTTGTGGTCTCTCCGCGGCCATGGCGCCCCCTGCCTAGAGGTGAGCTGCACGCAGCCCGGGGCGCCCCGCGGGAAAGGACCCTGACTTCCCGCTCTGAGGCGCAGCGGGGCGTCACAAGGCACAGCCCCCAGAAACCCTGTGTGCCACGTGACCTCTCACGGGACCTGGAGCTTGAGGGCTCTGTAGTGGAGAAGGGGGAGACTCGGAGGTGGCCGACTGGACTCAGAGGGGGGCGCGCTAGAGTGCTGTGTTGACGTTTTGTGTCTATTTATTTTGGATGCTTATTTGGGAGAGGGGTTAAAGACACCTCTTGGTTCCTCCCTGCCGGTGAGGTCCCGATGAATGCTGTAACAGTGGTCGCCAACGTCACCTGCAGCCCCAGGTGCTGCTCCCTGGGAACCTGGGAATCTGGCCCTAGCCACCAGAGAGCTACATCTTATACGCACTCCTCCCTTCTCAGAGCCAGACCAGGTTTCAAAGCCCTCCTCCCCTCTCTCTCCTCATCCTTATAAGCCTAGCTGTCCAGCCCCCCAAGTCCTGAGAAGTAGATCTTAAAGCCTTCCCTCACCCGCCCCCATTTTTCTCTCGCCAGTTCCAAGTCAGCTTCCCCAGCTCAGTTCCAGGGCTGGGAGCCTCTCCTATGCGTTCTCAGGCTTGACTGTGCCTCAGGGCTGGGAGGAGGGAGGTCCCCTGCCCTCAATCAGAACTCGGGCGCCCCAGCCGGGGTCTCTAATTAGGCACGGAGGCGGCAGCGGCCATCGTGGGCGCCGGGGACCTTTTCCCGCCCCCATCACACACGTCCCTGTCACTTCCCGTGGAGTGGAAGGGTAAAAGAGAATAACTAATGAACTAAGGAGTCAACCCGGTGCCCCACCCCCTGGCCTTGCCTAACCGGTCTCCCAATTCTCCAGCCTGGGCGGAGGCAGGAGAAACAGCAGGGTCTGAAGATTAAGGGGGCAGGCAATGTGAGGTTTCCTCCTTTCGGATCCCTTGGGGATTTGAGGAGAGGGCTCCACAGGGGCTGGGAAGGGGCTTGGCTAAGGAACCAGAATTAGAACCAAATCCTAGAACGACAGGGCATTCGGTGGCCAGTAGTGGGAGGGCAAGCAGGGCTACTCAGAGTGACAGAGTGATCGGCTGGAGAGGCTTCCCAGAGGGTGCCCCTCTGCCTAACACTTTTGAAGTGGCCTGAAATGGCGCAGCAACCTGAACTTCGGTCGGTAGGTCCAGGGTGATCTTCTTCTCGCCACCTCTCCTTTCTCCCCTGGCCAACCCCCCTCCCTGGCGCCGGAAAAAGACACACTGAGAAATCAGAGCCGGGTGGACTAGGTGGTTAAGGAGTTTATTTGGGAGAGGAGAATCATATTTGTTCTTCCTTGGGGAGGGGGGATCTTCAAACAATACCGAAGTGTTCGGGAAAGGGTAGGTGTCTGGAGAGGAGAGGGAGGGGCCACAGCCAGACAAAATGGCAACACACGATCACAGGCACTACTGACATCACAGACACAGCAGAGGGTGCAGGATAGGGGCTCCAGACCCGGCCTCCAACCACCCCAGGATTCGTGGAGGTGTGGAGGGAGGGAGGGGCAGGTGAAGGGGGAAGAGGGGTGGGCCAGCCCCACAGACCCGTTGGTTCTGTCCTCTGATTATCTAGCTGTTTCATCATGAGTGGGGAGTGGGGAAGGGTGGTGGGGTGCTTCTCTCTGGATCCCATGCCTCACCCTACAAGCCATATCACTCAGCTCTTCTCAGGCCATCTCGGTCCCAAGCCTTAGCCAGAGCCATTCTCCCCAACCCCTAACAAAACCCACCTGGAAGCTCCTATCCAAGTCCCCCCTCCACTGCCCAGAACTGGCCACTGTACAACATTTTCTTCACTGCACCATGGGAAGGGGCTGCCCTTTCTGAAACCCCCATGCAAGCCCCATTCTAAGCCCCACACTGTCTGGAACCCTGTCGAGGATCTCATCCCAAACAGCCCATTCCTGAATCCCACTTCTTGCTTTGCTCAAGATCTGTCCCCTTTAGAATCAAGCTCAGTCTCCTAAATGTTCCAAGCCACACACTTTCCATAGGCTCTGGTCCCAATTCAAGACTCACCTACTCACTCTGGAGCCCACCATTCTGCCCCGCTTAAAGCCCTGCCCCTTTTAGAACCCTGCCCTCAGCATCCTTCCAAGCCCCACCCCCAGAACACTCTAGCTCACTCCACTCATTCAGACTCCAGATCCACTATGTCTGGAACCCAACCCCGCTGCTGACTCCTCCACTCCACAGCTCCTCTCCAACACCACCTTGGGTCCTAAACTGCCCTCTCTACCCCAAGCCCCCCCATCTCTGCCTTTCTCTCACCCTGGAGTGGATTTCCCTAATGGCCTCTGTTTAGGCAGGGGTTGCTGGAGGAACCAAGGCCAGAGTTGGGAGGAGGAGAGGGAGAGAGAGAAGAGTCTGAAGCCACGCCTACCCTCCCCACACAGCCGAGGTCTGTCCCCTCCTTGTTCACCTTTCAGATCCCCCTAACCTCAGGGGACAGGGAGGGTAAACAGAGAGGGGCCAAGGGATGCAGGGAAAGGGACAGGGGTAAGAGAGAGGTCCACTCAAGACTGGGCACCTAGTGCATGAGGGGAGGGGAGTGAGGGCAGGGCTCAGACAGATAAATAGATATTTATATAATATATATATATATATAAACAGCAAAGACAGTTAGGGTCTCCTGGCTTGAGGGGTGGAGACCTAGGGTGTAGGGATGGGAAGGGGGCAGGCCTTCTCCTGAGCTCTTGCCCCCCAGTGGGGTCCTCCCGGGCTGCACTGACCTGTAGAGACAAAGGAGAAAGGAGAGGGGGGTCCGACATGGGTGGTGCCCTCAGATAGGGGCTGGGCTGCTATGCCTTTGTCCTGGCTGCATGTATTTTCTTTTTTCACTTATAGTCCTGGGGCCAGCTTCATCCCACCTCCCTCTACCAAGAAGGTATACCTGACCTTGACCCCACTGGGTTAGGTACCAAAGCGATTACAGTTTCCCTACCTCAACCAAAAAAGTAGTCTCTTAACTGGCACTGTTCTAGCCACTTGTGATAAACTACATAGAGCAAAACAAAGATCCCTGTCTTTGTGGAGGTTATATTGTAGCAGGGGGAGATAGACTTCACACAGCCAACATGATGCATGAGTGGATTATCTTGTATAACATAGAGTGACAATAAGTGAAATGGAAAAAAAAGTGAGCTGGGCATGGTGGCTCATGCTTATAGTCTCAGTTACTTGGAAGGCTGAGGTGGGAGGATCACCTGAGCCCAGGAGTTCAAGCCTAGCACTCCCAAAGTGCTAGGATTACAGATGTGGGCTACCACTTCCAGCCTGCGACAGGACAGGGTTCTGACACAGGAGGACTGTGGCCTAATTTAGGATTTAGCAGAATCCTTCCGGATGCTGTGAGTAGAACAGAATGGAAATGGAGGTGGAGACCTGAGAAGAGGCCTAGGAGAGATGACAATGAGAAGTGGGAAGATGATAGATACATTCTGAAGGTAGGGCCAACAGGATTTGTTGAAAAATTAGATGTGGGATGCCCTTTCCATCCTGGCTAACTCAGTGCCAGAAACTACCTCCGTCCAAGTACTGCCACCTTCTTGCCTTCCCACACCTCATGCCACCCCCTAACCTTTACCTCCTGCCTTTTCTACCCTATATCCTCCCTCCTATCTGAGGGAAATCTCACTTCTTTCTTTCTCTTTTTTTTTTTTTTTT